GCCAGTTTTTCTCCACAAAACCTTCTCTGTATCCCAGCTACGAGTCAACACAGCTTAACCTTCAGGTCTTTCATGACACTGCAGCGCTGTACAACCACCCACAAATGGCACAATACATAATTATATTGAAGTCAAAGCGATATAAAAGATGGCAACAGAACTCTCAGCCCAAGATTTACACCATTATATTTCTATGAAAAACGACGGGCAGTCTTATGAAAGAACGAAATCCTGGTTTTACCGGTCAATTTCCTCAGCATTGATCCATCTCCCTGTTGCTTTGTTTGTGCACAGAGGAAAGGCCGGCTCTTCTTCTAGTTTTCCTAGGAACGGAAGCCAAGACAATAGGCGGGCGGGGCCAGAGTCTTCGTGTACAGAAGGAATTATTTCCATGATGGAGAGCCACTCGGCCGTGTGGACGGGTTCGCCTGTGTGCTCAGCTACGGGGGATCACGGACTTACAGCGCGGCGTCCTGTTACTCACAACTGTTTCACTTGCTCAAGCCACCGAGACTTCACAACAAAAGAGTCGTATTTCCATTGTCCATCAAGAGGACAAAGACCCCTTAGCTTTCTTAAGTCACTTCTGCCTGCTCGCACGGATGAAGAATCACCCAGGAGGTCTAGAATCTTTTTGATCTCGTTGCAGATGGCATGCGTCTTAAGACGAGGGATTTTCCCATTTTTGATGCGCCTTTAAAGAAGCATTCTTTTCTAGTCAAACTAATTTATTTCTGCAATCGAAAGAATTCCTTTCTACCTCTTCCAGCTAAAAGAATTAATTTCTGTCCATAACGACTCATCCTTTCAAGCTACAAGAATCTGGCTCAAAAAAGTCGTTTTATGCAACAAAAATTTGTCTCTGGTCAAAAGTGTTCATCGCTAGTTAAAATGGGACCGAACTCACGCCTGTGAATGCAAAAGCGATGAGGCTAACCACTGCACCACTGAGGCTGATACAGCAATGTCTACCTATTTCTGCCTCATTCCCAGTCTTCTTCTTCTCGATCGCATCACACTTGAAGTCTGGTATCTGTCATAAATTGGGCCGTCCTGCTCAGTTCATCTGTCGGCCCGTCGTATAGCTTCTCTTGCAGCGTCAGTGGGGTTGGCCACGTTTCCTGTCTCAGGGCCCTGTGTGTCTTGCAGTGCTGAAGGATGTGTGTGTGTG